CCTTTTCATCTCTCGGGAGCAGAGGATGAAGGATCAGGCGAAGCCTTATGATCCTAAGAAGTCCTACTGGTGTCCTGATCCCGATGAGGGCTTCGTCGAGTGTGAGCTTCAAGGTCCGAAGGGAGACAAGCTGGTAACAGTCAAGGTTCCCAGCGGCGAGATGAAGGACTTCAAGAAGGAGCAGGTCGGACAGGTCAACCCTCCCAAGTACGAGAAGTGTGAGGATGTGTCCAACCTGACCTTCCTCAACGATCCCTCCGTCTTCTACGTCCTCAAGTCCCGTTACCAGGCCAAGCTTATCTACACCTACTCTGGTCTCTTCTGTATCGCCGTCAACCCCTACAAGCGTTACCCCATCTACACCAACCGTGCCGTCAAGATCTACATGGGCAAGAGGCGTAATGAGGTGCCCCCTCATCTCTTCGCCATCTGCGACGGTGCTTACCAGAACATGAGCCAAGGTACATATTTTTTACATGACTTCAACTTGAAGTTCAGTACGTCTGAATATTGACGCCTAACATACAGAAAGGAAATGATTTTATATTTAATTCATTAACTCATGACCATTTTTTTCTATCTTACAGAACGCCAGAACCAGTCTATGCTTATCACGTAAGTTATAATACAAAATCCCTTTAGAATGAAATCGTGAAATAATGAAATATAGATGAACAACTTGCTTGAAACTTTCATTATATTTTCTCTGCACCCGATTGATAGCGGTGAGTCTGGTGCCGGTAAGACTGAGAACACGAAGAAGGTGCTGTCTTACTTCGCCAATGTGGGTGCCAGCGAGAAGAAAGAAGGCGAAAATAAACAGGTAGGATATTTCCAAATCGGATTTGCAACAGCAGCATCAGAGATAATAATTTATGATGCAATGTCTGATGCAATACCACTGTGAAAATACCTACAGGTCAATTTCCTTCTCTTCTACTGCAGAACCTGGAAGACCAGATCATCCAAACCAACCCTATCCTTGAGGCCTATGGTAACGCCAAGACTACACGTAACGACAATTCATCTCGTTTCGTGAGTATATTGATCAATCTTCTTCGTTTATACCAACTGTGGATGCTTAGAGAAACATATGTAGCCTCTAATTAGTTCCACCTCTAGCAACACCACTATTTACTTTTAACACAGGGTAAATTCATTCGCGTCCACTTCGCTCCCAACGGCAAGCTTTCCGGCGCTGATATCGAGGTCTACCTGCTGGAGAAGGCTCGTGTCATCTCCCAGTCCCCCGCCGAGCGAGGCTACCATATCTTCTACCAGCTCATGTGCGACCAGATTGATTATATGAAGAGTAAGTATATCACAATGAAAAAAAAAATTGATATCTTTCTGCACTTTCTTGAAAGATTTACGGGAAAGGCTTCATCATTCTAATTCTGCTCTATATCATCAGAGATGTGCTTATTGTCCGATGATATTTACGACTACCATTACGAGGCTCAGGGCAAGGTTACCGTCCCATCAATTGACGACAAGGAAGACATGCAGTTCACCCATGTGAGCATTCACAACATATATGCTCGTCTTTTTCGCTTAAAAGTAATTGTTCAAAATGATGTTATTTATAAAGAAGTGGTACTTATAAATCGCACTGAAATATCCAACTAATTGTCATTCCTATACTTGCGTGAAGGAAGCCTTCGATATCCTGAACTTCTCTAACGAAGAAAGGGATAACTGCTACAAGATCACTGCTAGTGTCATGCACCATGGTAACATGAAGTTCAAGCAAAGGGGTCGTGAGGAGCAGGCTGAACCTGATGGCACTGAGGTATAAATTCACATGAGAAGATGCAGATAACTTGAATATGTTTCAATTTTTCTTTTCCAGTTTTGCTGTCCGTCTCAGAAAATGTATATTCATTTGTTTGTTCTTTCTTTTCAAAGGCTGGAGAAATTGTTGCCAAGTTGCTCGGTGTTGACGCCGAGGAGCTCTACAGGAACTTCTGCAAGCCCAAGATCAAGGTCGGTGCCGAGTTCGTCACCAAGGGTATGGGCGTCGATGCTGTCAACTACAACATCGGTGCCATGGCCAAGGGTCTCTTCTCGCGTGTGTTCTCATGGCTCGTCAAGAAGTGTAACATGACACTCGAGACTGGCCAGACTCGCGCCATGTTCATCGGTGTGCTCGATATTGCTGGCTTTGAAATCTTCGACGTGAGTTCCTTAGAATTTTTCGTTAGCAGAGACGATTTCCCGCGATAACTTATTGACAATTTAACACCTTACCATGTCCAGTAAAATGATATCGATACTCAGAAATAGTTATTTTTTTCCTTCTCTTTCTTCTAGTTCAACGGTTTCGAGCAGATCTGCATCAACTTCTGTAACGAGAAGCTGCAGCAGTTCTTCAACCATCACATGTTCGTGCTGGAACAGGAAGAATACGCAAAGGAGGGTATTGTGTGGCAGTTCGTCGACTTCGGCATGGATTTGCAGGCTTGCATTGAACTCTTCGAGAAGGTAATACTCGCTGAAAAAATACAAACTTTACTTCCATCAAATATGCTTCCTTAGAACTAATTTGCGATTTACGTTTTATCTCGTATTTTCTACAGAAAATGGGTCTCCTCTCCATCCTTGAGGAAGAGTCCATGTTCCCCAAGGCCACTGACAAGACCTTCGAGGAGAAGCTGAACAACAACCATCTCGGAAAATCTCGTTGCTTCATCAAGCCCAAACCTCCAAAGCCCGGCCAGCCTGAGAACCACTTTGCCATTGTTCACTACGCTGGCACTGTGTCCTACAACCTGACTGGCTGGCTTGAGAAGAATAAGGATCCTCTCAACGACACCGTCGTCGACCAGCTCAAGAAGGCCTCCAACGCCCTCACAGTCGAGATCTTCGCTGACCATCCCGGCCAGTCTGGTGATGCAGGCGGCAAAGGTATACTGCTTTGGGCGCTTTACTTTTTCTTCCTTTATCTTTCAGAATCAACAATATTTTACCTATTGTATACTGATATTACGGAATACCAACACCCAATTATCACACTCACATACACACACACGCAAATAAACACAAACATAAATAAAGAGAGGCTTAGATAAAATAACGTTTTGAAATATGTATCTACTTACGAAATAGATTATTTCTATAACTATCTATATCTATCTCTCCCCATCTTTCCACCTATCGACGTATCATCTAACTATCCATCTCTTGTTCTCTTTATCTCGCTCTTTGTAGATTTAAACATGTAGTGCAAGTTTATTCTTTGCTCATCAGGTAAAGGTGGCAAGCAACAGACCGGTTTCAAGACTGTATCATCTGGCTACAAGGTATGCTTCTTTTGTTTTAATAGTCATTTTTAAAGAAAGAAATATATCAGTACATATATATATGAATATACATATATAGTATATATGTAAATATATATGAATATATATAATATATATATAAGTATATATGAATATATATATGTATGTATGTATGTATATTCATATATATACATATATATATATATATATATATATATATATATATATATGTATACATATATATATATATACTTACAACATATACACACAAATTGCACGCGCAGCACATATACCTGTATACATATATACTTACTTACATATGCATACAATCACACACACAGACATACACACGCGCACACACATACGTACATACACACTCAAATATATATGTGTGTGTGTGTGTAGATGTTTATGTGTATAATTGTGTGTGTATATAAGTATATGTTTGTGTGTACATATACATAGAGACACACACATATATACATGTGTTTGTTTGTGTACGTACATATAAATATGATATGAGGGTATGTGCGTCAAAATGTTCTCAAATGCGATTATTGAATATAAGCATCAATACCTCATTGTTCATGCGCTACGGTCGTGAGATTATGCAATGAGGTGAATATATAGATGCTCAGGATATATGTGCAGGTTTAAAGTAACAGAATACTTAACAAATGCGTTTCGGGCGATTGGTCTCAGAACACCTTTGGGCGCGCATGAATCCGTATATACGTGTGTGTGTGTGTTCACAATTTTCATAAAGTGAATGGCTTCCTACCAATCGGTCGACTTATTCTGCTTGTGTGTATGGATTCATACATTGATATAATTTCCTATTTTGTATATGCACATCTTTACTTGCGATATAACACTTTTCACAGGATCAGCTTGCCAACCTGATGAAGACTCTCAACGCTACTCATCCTCACTTCATCCGTTGCATTGTGCCCAACGAATTCAAGAAGCCTGGTAAAACACTGGATTTTTGACGAAATCATAAAGTCAACTGATAAAGTAAATTACTGCAAAATGGTATAAGGAAATAGCCCGATTAATAGGAGGTTCATCCGTTCTCTATGCTCACAGGCGCTGTCGATGCTGGCCTCATCATGCATCAACTTACCTGTAATGGTGTACTTGAGGGCATCCGTATTTGTCAGAAGGGCTTCCCCAACAGGATGCCTTATCCTGACTTTAAACTACGGTAAGTCAGTCAGACTCTCTCTGTCTCTCTCTGTCTCTCTCTCTCTCTCTCTCTCTCTCTCTCTCTCTCTCTCTCTCTCTCTCTCTCTCTCTCTCTCTCTCTCTCTCTCTCTCTCTCTCTCTCTCTCTCTCTCTGCTAAACAAAACTAATAGAGGTAATATGACCAGTAACAACTTCCAACCGAGTATTACATTTTGGAAACGAATGTACCAGAACTACACTACATGGCTGAATATTGTGCCAAGAGCATCATACTATGCATGAGAATCACACTCTATCATGTAAACTCACATATTGCGTCTTGTAGATACAACATCCTGGCCGCCCAAGAGATGCTCGAAGCGAAGGACGACAAGAAGGCAGCTGAAGCCTGCTTCCAAAGGGCCGGTCTTGATCCCGAATTGTATCGCTGCGGTAACACCAAGGTAACAAAGCGGTTTATTCATTACTCATATCCTATTGCTCTGTATGCTGATATGCCATAAGCAAAAGTTGGCTACAAGCCGGTTAACTATCTGTATTCGCTTCCTTTTAATAGTATATTCCTTCAACAGGTATTCTTCCGTGCCGGTGTCTTGGGTAGACTTGAGGAGATCCGCGAAGACCGCGTGGTCAAGCTTCTCACCTGGTTCCAAGCATGGGTTCGTGGTTACATCAGCCGCAAATTCTATTCCAAGATGCAGAAGCAGCGCACTGCTCTCCTCGTTGTGCAGCGCAACCTTAGGAAGTTTAAGATCATGCGTGCTTGGCTCTGGTATGAACTGTGGATCAAGCTCAAGCCTAAGCTCTGCGCAACTCGTGCTGAGGATGAGATCGCTAAGCTGGAAGAGATTGCCGAGAAGGCCGAGGCTGAATTCGAAAAGGAGGTCAAGGTCCGCGAAGAACTCGAAATCAAGAATGCCGCTCTTCTCGAGGAGCGAGCTGAGCTCATGCTGGCTCTTGAATCCTCCAAAGGCGGCATGTCTGAATACCTGGACAAACAAGCCAAACTGCAAGCACAGAAAGCAGAACTTGAAGGACAACTTAATGTGAGTCATTGTGCTTACAATCATGCATTAAGATTCTTGTATATCAATAAGTGTTTATATATATATATATATATATATATATATATATATATATATATATATATATATATATATATATATATATATATATATTTTTTTTTTTTTTTTTTTTTTTTTTTTTTTTTTTTTTTTTTTTTTTTACCCAAATATCTAGTCCATATTTTAGAGACAATTGTAATTAGTTATCTGTAAATTACTAGTGGTTGACTTCACATCCCAGGAAACCTTGGAACGCCTTCGCAAAGAGGAAGAGGCACGCAACCAAATCGCTAATGGCAAGAAGAAATGCGAACAAGAGGTTACAAACCTTAAGAAAGATCTTGAGGAACTTGAACTTCTTGTTCAGAAGGGCGAGCAGGACAAGATCACCAAAGAAGAGCAGATCCACAACCTCAATGAAGAGATTGCTCATCAAGAAGAACTCGTCACCAAGGTCAACAAGGAGAAGAAGCACCTTCAGGAATGCAATCAAAAGACTGCCGAGGATATCCAGTGTATTGAGGACAAGTGCAACCACCTTAGCAAGATGAAGACTAAGTTGGAGTCCACCCTTGACGAACTCGAGGATTCTCTTGAGCGTGAGAAGAAGCTTCGTGCTGAGGTTGAGAAGTCCAAGAGGAAGGTAGAGGGTGACCTCAAACTGACTCAAGAAGCTGTTTCCGATCTGGAACGTAACTACAAAGAACTCGAAGTGGCAGTAGAACGTAAGGACAAAGAGGTTGCTGCCATTACAGCCAAAATCGAGGATGAACAAGCATTGGTGTACAGGGACCAGAGGCAGATCAAGGAACTCCAGTCTCGCCTTGAAGAACTCGAGGAAGAAGTCGAACATGAACGTCAGGCACGCAGCAAGGCTGAAAAGGCCAAGACTCTCCTTTCACGTGAACTGGGAGACCTTAGTGAGCGACTGGACGAGGCCGGCGGTGCCACAGCCTTGAGTGAAGCGAAGTGACGCGTAAGAAGCATAATGACGCTGTAGCTGAGATGTCCGAACAGATTGATTACCTTAATAAGATGAAAGCTAGGTAAGATAAGTTACAAATATCCCAAAAGCCATCAACCTAAATATAATCATAATGAAAACAATGCGTCTCGGCAGAATGAGATACATTTATTAACCATTATACTTATAAAACAGAGCTGAGAAGGACAAAGAAGCCATGAAACGTGACGCTGATGACGCCAAGGCTTCCATGGATTCCCTCCTTCGTGATAAGGTGGGATAAGTTTTTTTTTTTTTTTTTTTTTTTTTTTTTTTTTTTTTTTTTTTTTTTTTAGTATGGAACATATATTCAACGTTAAAAATGTAGAGTAACGTCTGATATTTTATGTTCTGCATATACTATGTATGCTCTGTGTATATAGGTGTATATAAAAGTATATGTTCATATATACGTGTTTGTGTGGGCGTATATATATATATATATATATTATATATATATATATATATATATATATATATATATATATATATATATATATATGTATGTATGTATGTATGTATGTATGTATGTATGTATATATGTATATATATATATATATATATATATAATATATATATATATATATATATATATATATATATATATATATATATACATATATGCATATATGCATATATATGTGCATATATATATATATATATATATATATATATATATATATATATATATATATATATATATATATATATTTATATATTTTTTTTGTATACATATATGTATATACATATATATGTATACATATATATATTCATATTCTTATATGTGTGAGTGCGTGCGCGTGTGTGTGTATATGTATGAGTTTATATATGTGTTTCCGCATATATGTGTTTATATACATATATATGTGTATGTGTGTGTGCATAAATGTGTGTATACACATACACACACACATATATATATGTGTGTGTGTGCATATGTGTGTGTGTACATATATGTGTGAGTATGTTCACGTGTGTGTGTGTGTGTGTGTGTGTGTATGTGTGTATGTGTGTGTGTGTGTGTGTGTGTGTGTGTGTGTGTGTGTGTGTGTGTGTGTGTGTGTGCGTGTGTGTGTGTGTGTGTGTGTGTGTGTGTGTGTGCCCAGGTAAAGGTTTTACTAAAATGCGATATTACGATGTGAACACTTCAGACCGCTGCTGAGAAGACCACCAAACAGCTTCAGCACCAATATGGTGAGATTTGCGCCAAGCTTGATGAAGTTAACCGCACTTTGAGCGACTATGATGCCACCAAGAAGAAGCTTGCCTGCGAAAATGCTGATCTCATTCGTCAGCTGGAGGAGGCTGAGAGCCAGGTCAGCCAGCTCTCCAGGGTCAAGCTTTCCCTTACGAATCAGCTCGATGACACCAGGAAACTCTCTGAAGAAGAGGGCAGGGTAAGTTTTTCGTGTCGTTAATGATGAATCCAATAATACACTAACAAGAATATACAGATTAATTGATATTACTCTACATTTCACCATCAGGCACGTGCCACACTCCTTGGTAAGTTCCGCAACTTGGAACACGACATTCAGACTCTTCGTCAACAACTTGATGAGGAGAACGAAGCCAAGGGGGATGTTCTGCGCATGCTCTCCAAGGCCAATGCCGAGGCTCTCATGTGGCGCTCCAAGTACGAGTCTGAGGGCGTTGCCCGCGCAGAGGAAATTGAGGCTGCGCGCATGAAGCTCGCAGCTCGTCTCGAGGAAGCCGAAATGCAGATTGAGTCTCTCAATGTTAAGAATTTGCATCTGGAGAAGACCAAGATACGTGCTGCTGCTGAGCTGGATGACCTCCAAGTCGCTGCTGAACGTGCACAGACTCTGGCCAACTCTGCTGAGAAGAAACAGAAGAACTTTGATAAGATCATCTCCGAGTGGAAGCTGAAGGTCGAAGACCTTGCTGCTGAGTTTGATGCTTCTCAGAAGGAATGCCGCAACTACGCCACCGAACACTTCCGACTGAAGGCTGCCAATGATGAAAACATTGAACAACTCGATGCTATACGCCGCGAGAACAAGAATCTTAATGATGAAATCAGAGATTTGATGGACCAGATCGGTGAGGGCGGCCGAGCGTACCATGAGGCTCAGAAGAACGCCAAGCGCCTTGAACTTGAGAAGGAAGAGCTTCAGGCTGCTCTTGAGGAAGCCGAGGCTGCCCTAGAACAAGAGGAGAACAAGGTCCTCCGAACACAGCTTGAGCTCAGCCAGGTCAGGCAAGAGATTGACAGGCGTGTTCAGGAGAAGGAGGAGGAATTCGACAACACTCGGTGAGTTGTATACATCTTGTATAAATATATGTGTTTACGCTACTGTGGTATAGCATGTTCACCACTCTCACATGTTTATTTTCTTCTTTTTTCTTGAGGGGAGTAGGGGGCCTGTGGTATGAATGAACTTCTATAAAGAAAAAATAGTACAATATTCAATCATATACTCATTCATTTTCTCTATCTGCAGTAAGTGTCACCAAAGGGCTCTTGATTCCATGCAAGCTTCTCTTGAGGTTGAAGCCAAGGGTAAGGCCGAGGCTCTTCGCATAAAGAAAAAGCTCGAGTCCGATATTAACGAGCTTGAAATTGCCCTTGACCACGCCAATAAGGCCAATTCTGATCTTCAAAAACACTACAAGAAGATCCAGGATGAAATAAAGAGTATGGAGTCCCGTGTTAAGGAAGAGCAACGTCTTGCCTCCGGGTACCGCGAGCAGTATGGTATTGCCGAACGCCGTTTCAACGCCCTCTACGGTGAGCTGCAAGAATCCCGAACTCTCCTGGAACAGTCTGACCGCGGTCGTCGTCATGCTGAGACTGAGCTCAACGATGCACGCGAACAGATCAACAACCTCACCACCCAGAATGCTGCTCTCACTGCCTCCAAAAGGAAACTTGAGGGTGAAATGCAGACCCTGCAGGTAGGCTTATCTCAGTGTTACCAGATTCAACACTTCTTTTTAAAATGTTGCGCATTCAGCTACATTAATGATATATTTTCTTACAGGCTGACCTTGAGGAGATGCTCAGCGAAGCCAAGAACTCTGAGGAGAAGGCGAAGAAGGCCATGCTAGATGCTGCTCGCCTTGCTGATGAGCTCCGTTCTGAACAAGAGCACGCCACTAACCAAGAGAAGATGCGTAAGGCCTTGGAAGGTACCGTCAAGGATCTCCAGACCCGTCTTGAGGAAAGTGAGGCCGCTGCCCTTAAGACTGGTAAGAAGGCTGTCAGCGATTTTGAAGCTCGCATTCGCGAACTCGAGGCTTCCCTGGACGATGAGACCCGTCGTCACGCTGATGCCCAGAAGAACCTGAGGAAGTGCGAGAGGCGCATCAAGGAGCTCGCCTTCCAGACTGACGAGGACAAGAAGAACCACGACAGGATGCAGGACCTCGTCGATAAGCTCCAGCAGAAGATCAAGACCTACAAGCGCCAGATCGAGGAGGCTGAGGAGATCGCCGCCCT